GAGCTTTTTATTTTCTTTTTTTTTCTCTTTCCCTATCTCTCCGCCAGAGCATTTTATTTTCTCTCTTTTCCTCTCCCCCTCCGCTCCTCCTCTGCGTTCATCACTGATGGACATCTGAAGTTTTGTTAGTTTAGCCTCTACATCTAAATGCTTCGTACAATCTGCATGTGAAAGAAGGAACTCGTCCAGGAGCGTTTCTTCTAACCCTAGCTGAACATCCTGCTTACATATTCGCAGCAGATCTGGACACACCTGTAGGAGTATTCCCAGATGGGAGAGTCTACCTGAAAAAAGCGATAAAAAGAACGGCTGCTGACATTATCTCTATACCAATAACAGCGACACATAGGTACAATCATACTGTATTTTAGCAATGTTTACCAATATTGCACCAATGTATTTTAATATTGCTGTTGCAGGCTTCATAGCAACACTTACTCAACCATCGTCCACGTTTATGTAGATGGTGTGAATAGCCATGTTCCCAGATGTCCCGAGAAGAACCACTTTAGAGTGAAAGAAAATTCCAAGCTTGGGATTACTGTAGGATTTTTGAACGCGACAGATGAGGATACTGGTCTTAATGGTGTTCTTGGCTACAGATTACTCGACAGTCATGATTTGTTGCATGTTGGAATCGCCACGGGCAAGGTAGCTATTGAAATATTAATAATAGTATATACATAGGGTTGAATTCTGCTACATGCCGGTGCCTTGGTAAAGAGAAAGAAAAGACGATGTTTAAAAAATCGTGCAAAACAGAAGGAATAGAAACTAAAAAAAAAGCAGAGCTAAATGATTGAAATGCTGTTTTTACTTTTTGTTTCCTTGTTTTATTTGCTTCATTTAGTTTGTTATCAGTCTAAGGAAATTCTTTTACAGTAAATTTGCTTTTTGGATAAGCTAAATTTCTCCCTCTCACACAGTTTCGTTTGTAAAAAAATTCACTCGCTGCCCTGTGCTCTGAGAAACAATCTTAAAGTCAAAAACTGCTGCAAGTTAATTATCTTTATACTTATGAACAACTGAGAGAGCTTGGAGTTAACTAAGTTACGTTTCATGCGCCAACAAAACTTCCTCGAATAGATTATTTCTGCAAAGCATCTATCACTTCTTAATTGGTAATGGACAGCGTTTTTCATTATTTACCAATTTCGCTGACTCATATAATAATTTATATATGAATTTGGCAGATAAATAATCGATTCGCTGGGCGCAATCCTTTTTTCTAAATTGAAACTTAGAATAGCTATTGAAAAGG